CTTGTCGAGGCTGCTCTGTATTCTTCCGCCGTGGTTGTGAAATTGTTCATGTTTTAATTATTCTCTTTTATAAAGGGATCAAAGGTGCTGCTGGCAGGGTCGGCCTCTATTTTCATTCATGTTCGTGCTCCGGCGTGTACTCCCACACAGACTTTTTTTTTGTTTTACTATGAATATGTTCTATTATTAAAACCGTGAAGCGCCTGCTGTAATGGTATAATGACTCCAGTTTGGCTCTAGCGTTGCAGGATTTAATCAGACACAATATATGTTGTAGCTATTGTATGGATCTTGTAGGATAATTTTCTGTGTCTGTGTTTAATCACCTAATGATTTAATCATTTAAGATCTCATGCCTCTTTAGTAGTTGTTCAAGCACAGCAGGTTTGTTTAAAAAAAAAAAAATTCTTTGTTAAAGGGATGGTTCACACAGAAGTAACAATTGTCATCATTTACTCACCCTTATGTTGTTCCAAACATGCATGACTTCTGTGGATCTTCTTTGAAGAATGCTGATTTGTTTAATGTTGAATTGACTTCCATTGCATGGATGGAAAACACTGAGACATTTTTCAGATTACCTTACTTTGTTCCACAGAAGAAAGAAAGTCATACAGTTTTGGAATAACACGAGGGTGAGTAAATGGCAGAATGTTTGTTTTTGTGTGATTTTTCAATTTAATTGAATTTATCACAATTAAGCCTGATAATTTAAAGACAAAGCAGCATTGTTGCAGATGAAAACATTAAATAAATGAATAAATACATATGTAACCTTTACATTATTTTAATTTAATTTATTAATATTTAATTGTATTTATAAATGATGAATTATTTATTTGTATTCATTGTGCATGACCCCATCATGGTCTAACTATTTTGTAGTTTGTCAGTCTGTCCGAGTTAGATTTGGGTTTGCACAGGATACATTCTTTTTATTCCGCCTTTCCCATATTAACTTACTGACAAAACTGACAACCCCAGTGCATAAATCTGTGAAGTATCTATCATTCTTCTTCAGTAAACTGTGAATTCTTCTTAATTATTATTGCATTAATGCATTCGTTGAAGTGTGTCAAGCCCAAGTCCATGACAGATCTCTGTTCGAGGGAAGCATCCGCATTATCATCCTGCTGAATATGACCATGATTACCACAGTTTACAGATCCCCGCACTTGTTCTCTCTTACTCAGGGCATTTTCATTTTTCAGACTACCTGACAGAGCCCGACACTTTAACCTCTCTCTGCTGATTGCTTTGTCCTCTGTCCCTTATATATCTTTCTTCTCTCTCGCTCCCTCACCTTTTCACTCTCAGTAACCCTCTGTAAAGTAAAGTCCATTTGCCAGCTTTTAGTAATGTGTGTATGAAAGTGGAGGCAATGTACTCAACATTAGTTGTCAATTCACTAAAACTTTTATTTACGTGTGGACATGTATTTGTGAGTATGTGGGTGTGTTAATTGAGATGTGTTATGCAGCTCGGGGGTGTTGGACACAGCGCAAAATTGATCAGAAGGCCTTGTCTGAGTTACGTTTGACTGACTCCTGATCGATTGGGCCTGTCATGGAGATTGATCACCAATACTCAGTCACAGCTATTGATCAGCTCGTCGCTCGAGTCGCTGCATGTGTGGAGGAGGAGAGGGAGCAGTAAACGCATTTCCTCCACCTCTTTATTGCACTTTCATCTCCGCCACTGCAACCTCAGCTACTCATAATTATCGGTGTCTGCAAATTATAGTGGTTTGAATATTATAACTACGGTATAATGCTGTCTGATACTGTCAAAGTTCAGCTCCAGTACTCGCATTTCCAAAATGCAGTAATTACACAATTTAGTCTTGCTAACCTATTTCTCCAGAAGGTTTAAACATTAAGGGTTCAATTCCGCATGCAGACTGTGGTTTTACAGCAGCTTCATCATAATAACTTGAGTAATTACAGCATTACTCCTTGATTTGAAAACTGTCTTTTTGAAATTGGTTTGAATTGATCTAGTCATTTGTCTGGTTACACCAACACAATCTCATGGCAATCTGTAACTATTTACATTTTGGTATACATTCCTCGTTTGATCTGCTTACGCCCCAGTGATGGGTATGTTTAGGGGTGGACCTTTATGCTTGCTTTTTTCTAACGATTCTCATCATACAAATTCATACGAAATCGCCACCTCGTAACATAGTTAAGTTTTCCTGTGAGATCAGGTTGGGTTAAAACTTACTGAACACCTACAGTATATAACGGAGATGTTAAATATTTAAACGTTTTTGTAATGTTTAAAACAGCTGCTTCATATTTTTGTAGAAACTGTTATTCTTATTCTTGATGAATAGATTTTTTTTTTTTTTTAAAGCATTTATTCGAAATGTTAATTTTTGTTGCTGAATAAAAGTAATTGTTACTGACCACAATAATCCACCAAAATCGAAGTTTTATTATTTTATTAAATTTTATTAAAAGCCCATATTGCCAGCAGTAAATTCCTCCTTTTAATGATTAAGTAATATCCAATGCCACTCTTTAATGCAATTAAACATGAAAACTGATCCTGAGATTAGATTCTAAATGTATTACCCTGTGGAAAACAAGAGGAAAGAGGAAAGGTCAAACAAACTCCATTTGTGCTGGTCCAGTGTTCATTTATTCAACTGTGACACCATGTACGGTCACAACATGATGATGATCCCTTCAAATGTGCCTAATTGATGAAAATTACATTAGCTTGACAGCTAATTAGCAACTTATAGATGTCTCCTCACTGGCCAAGCTTGCAGTATTTGTAAATGACATGTGCTGTCAGATCTTGGATGGAATATGATATAATAGTGTGATGAAGAGATGATGGTTCGATATGAAAGCTCATGGAAAGATGACCTCAGCCACACCACGTCTTGTATTTTCTGGCTTCTGTAGTGAGTTTACATCACAGGAATTGAGGTAATTTCTTAACTAGGGCATAGACTGTGGGTCGGATACCTAGTTTACTCTCTAACTTTCTCAGTTTCTCCCTCTGCACTCCATCTGCCTCAATCTGTTCCAATCGGCTCCCTTGCTCTTTCTGTCTCTGGTCTGGAGTCTTTCATTAGCCTTTTTCCGTCGTCTCTCTGTCCACCCACTTAACTCAGGATAACCCCCCTCCTCATTTTTCTGCCCATGTGTGTTCTCCTCCTCCTTCCTTCTTTCCTTCTCAGACTTCCTCTGCCTCCTTCGCTCTGTCACTTCTTCACAAAAGACTCCCGGTGACAGACCTGGACCGGCCGCCTTGCTCTCACATCCTGTCTCCTCTTCTCCTCCGTGGCCTCTTCTCATCCCTCGCTCGGTTCATTCTCTGGCACACACGCACGTTTGCAGTGAAGAAAGACCAATTAAAATCCATCTTGTCTTCTAGCTGTCTCCCGCCAAACTCTCTCTAGGGCCACTAATTAAAATAGAACCCTTTCTTTACCTCCCTCCATGTGTCTGTCTCTCCTCTCTGTAACCCTTCTCTCTCTGAGCCCCTCACCTCACTTCCTGTCTCACTTCATCTCCGCTGCTCCTTTGCTCTGGTTCTCACCTGTTTTTCCACAGTCTGTAGTTCATCTGCACTTCTTCAGTACCTGTGAACTTGACTATAAACTTTTCGTTCGTTCGTTGCAATAAGCATTGTGCCTATGTTTTTAGGATTTGTAGCTTGTACTACAAGTTGGTGGAATCTCTGCCAAAATGTATAGAATTATGGGGAATAAATGAAGTATTTTTGTTTATGTAAATCATTTGTAATTGCAAGCCTTTAGTAATAATAAAGGTGAACTTGAGAAATCCTTCCTTCCTTCCTTCCTTCCTTCCTTCCTTCCTTCCTTCCTTCCTTCCTTCCTTCCTTCCTTCCTTCCTTCCTTCCTTCCTTCCTTCCTTCCTTCCTTCCTTCCTTCCTTCCTTCCTTCCTTCCTTCCTTCCTTCCTTGCTTGCTTGCTTGCTTGCTTCCTTCCTTCCTTCCTTCCTTCCTTCCTTCCTTCCTTCCTTCCTTCCTTCCTTCCTTCCTTCCTTCCTTCCTTCCTTCCTTCCTTCCTTCCTTCCTTCCTTCCTTCCTTCCTTCCTTCCTTCCTTCCTTCCTTCCTTCCTTCCTTCCTTCCTTCCTTCCTTCCTTCCTTCCTTCCTTCCTTCCTTCCTTCCTTCCTTCCTTCCTTCCTTCCTTCCTTCCTTCCTTCCTTCCTTCCTTCCTTCCTTCCTTGCTTCCTTCCTTGCTTCCTTGCTTGCTTCCTTGCTTGCTTCCTTCCTTGCTTCCTTCCTTGCTTCCTTCCTTGCTTCCTTCCTTCCTTGCTTCCTTCCTTGCTTCCTTCCTTGCTTCCTTCCTTGCTTCCTTCCTTCCTTCCTTCCTTCCTTCCTTCGGTGTCTTGTACACATTTCCTTTTAAAGTCAACAGTGTGTAAACAAATTGGAAAGGGATTTTTTTTTTAAACCAAGCCCCTAAGGGCCATTCTATGCTAATTCTTCCCCTATTAGTGCAACTTGACTTTTGACTTTGTGTGTGTGTGGAAGAAGAATGAAACTCTCACTAATTAGCATGAAGCTGTTATTGAGAGCGAATGGTCCGTATCTGGTGCTGTGTGAATGTTTTGACCTGCTGAAATCCTCAGGGTGTCTCTTTCCTTTCAGTGTTACTGCAGTATCACTCGAGTAACATAAAACTTGCTTAATTTAGCTTGCCTAGCATTAATCTTTATTTTACAATTCACATTTTCGCTACATCCTTCTATCATCAGGTACTAACTAAATTTCTGTCATGTTAAAATATTTGTTTCTCAGCAGTGACTGACTGCTAACTCTTAATAATATCCCATGAAGCGGCCAAGCGAGCACCGATCCAAGCATGATTCAGTGCAGATCTTGCTGACACATCTGAAATCTGTTTTGTGGACTTGGAAGAATGCCATTTTTAGTGATTGTGGCCATGAATTTCTCTCATGATGGAAATACACCCTCTAATATTCCCCCTCTCTTTCTCTCTCTTGCTCTCAGGTTAACAGGAGATGATTACTCTGTCCAGGTCAATCTGAGTGATTATCTGGATATACTGTGTCCCCACTATCCTGCTGACCACCAGTCGAGTGGACCTGTGGAGAGTCTGGCTCTCTACCTGGTGGCTGAGCGCCAGTTCAAGGGCTGCGTGGAGACTAAAGAGGCCATTAAGAGATGGGAGTGTAACCAGCCGTATGCTCCCTATGGCCCTGTCAGATTCTCTGAAAAGATCCAGCGCTTCACACCCTTCTCCTTGGGCTTTGAATTCCTGCCCGGACACCATTACTACTATAGCTGTAAGTGAGCTGCAGTATTGGAGAGCATACACATGTCAGTCAGGGTGACAACATAACAGTGAATAGATACATTTACACTAAATACACCTTAAACTAGGAAACATCCTAGTTTACACTACCATTCTAAAATTTGGGGCTGGTAAGACTTTAAATATTTTTGAAATAAGTCTGTGATGATCATCAAGGCTAAATTTATTTGATCAAAAATACAGTATACCCATTATTTAAAACAACTGTTTTCTATTTTTTTTCCTATTGCTGCTTAAAGGTACAATATGTAAGAATTTTGTAATAAAATATCCAAAAATCACTTGCACAGTGTGATATATTACCTGCAGTTGTGTACTTACAATATCCCAAAAGTCTCCAAAGATTTTTTATTTCAGAGAAATTCCGATTTTAAATAAGTGGCCGTCCCGGAAAAAAATGTCGCCTGTCAATGACGCAATATCCGCGCTATTCTCGGTTTCCGTTCATACTGCCATAGCCATGACGTAACCATGGCGACAGACGTGGACAACTGCGTAGTGCGTAACGTTTAGCGGCACGCAGTTCTTGTTTCTTTCAAACATAGACCATGGCAAGCAGACTTTGGGACAAACAAGGAGAACTAATATCAGGATCAATATCAGCGTGGCGTTTTTGAGGTGCCGAGAGCTCCACGTCCACGACTAACTTGGACTTGACAGAGCTTCATGAGTCACGACTTGACAGCTTTATTAGACAGGTGAGCAAATGTACATAAAACAAATCAATGTTATATAACGTTAGCTCAACATGATGAAATGTTAGAATATGGTCAGTATGTTATTCTAATGTTGATCTAGCTCACTGCTAGTTTCGTATAGCAAACGAACTAACACGTAGTATAACATAACTTTCAACACGCATTTAAATGCCGTTTAGTGTGATAGTGTAACGTTAGACCAAGTGAAGCAGCGCTGCTTTACCTCAAGTTTAATTCGTCTAATAAACTGACCTGTGTGAGTAATCCAGCACTTGCGGGTAGTTCGGTAGAATTAAATGTCCTTATTCCTTTATATCCGCGGGACTCGCGTGTGATATCTGTCTCTTTAGCAATCGCGACCTGCTTCATACCACTGTAATGTTAAAAAACATGAATGTTTGCACTCATCCATAAACATTATTAGATCCATCAGCTTGACAGCAAGTCCCATCATTCAGCTCATCACTGCGTCATAAACCTACGCCTTTGTTATTGTTGGAAACTGCGCCCTCTTGTGGTGAAAAATTCTTACATATTGTGCCTTTAAGAAGCATTTCTTATTATCAATGTTGATAACAGCTTAATATTTTAGTAGGGACCTTGATACAGTTTTTAGGGGAGTAATGAATCGTAGTTGATTCATACGGACCAGGCCCCACGGTTCGGAACGCATGTGATTCGTGGATTAAATTGCTAAGTTTAACCATCATATTGTGAAAGTTTGTATGTGTTAAGTCCTGTCAATTTAAACATACAAGCCATTTTAAACCATTCAAGCGCAAGAAGACACGAAAGACTCCATTCGGCACTCACGCACTATTTTCTGTGTGCACTTGAACAGACATATACACACAGACACATACATATTATGTCAAAATACCAGTATTGGCGAGTTTCCTCGTAAAACACAGTCTGTTATGTCTTAAGTAAACGTAAGCAATTGAGAAAAAACAGATGCGTATCATTATAGTGGAGCCGTGTATTCGGTCTTAGACAGCATCAGGTATTTATAGGCTGCTGTCACTTTAATAAAACAACAAAAGACAAATAGAAAAGCACTTTGTAGCAAAAGATTAATTATATTTATATATACATGTATATTTTATACTGTGACGCCTATGCAGTGTTTTGCGACTGAGTTTTGTGATCTGTTGCACCCCTAATTGTTTTTAAGAATTCTTTGATGAATAGAAAGTAAGCTAATACAGCATTTATTTGAAATAGAAATCTTTTGTAACATTATAAACGTATGTACTGTCACTTTTGATCAATTTAATTCATCCTTGCTGCATAAAAGCGTTTATTTCTTTAAAAAAGAAACCTACTGATCCCACAATTTTGAATGGTAGTGTATGGAATCTAAAAAAAAATATGTACACCTTTTAATCTAGTTGCTACCTGGTGAGCAGGAGTTGGTATGCGTTTTTTGTGTTTATCTGCTTGTGTATCTTTCGTGTGTGTTTTTTATTTTATTTTTTTGTATTTTTATGAATATTTATGAGAACATAAGTGAAAATGCTCCTTTTCTTACCTTTGGCTCCACCCTCATCCTTCTCGCCTCTTCTACATGAAGCCCAAAAAGGAAGGAAGATGGTCTGTGGCCATTAAATTACATGACAGTTTTCCTGTTTTTTACAGCTTTGGTTTCAGGCCAAAGCTCTTCAATTCCCTCCTCTTATTTCTTTCTTTCTCTATCTCGCTCTCTCTCTCTGGGTAGGAAATCACACAAGGCATTTTTAATGAGTATGTTGCAAAAAAAAGCCTGAAACTCTAGAATTGAAGTGAAAAATTAATAATCTATATCTTTAGTTTTTATTTATTTATTTATTACCAGTGGTCAGTGAAAGGATGTGCTTAACCTTTAGAAAATGTTGACGTTAACCTCAGGATGTCAAACTAAATATATGGGCTGTTTTTTTTTCCTATTCATTTTACATGAGATTCGCAAGTGTTGCTACACTGTTACAGTTGTAAGCATGCAGTTATGTCTTTTGTAATGCAGTAAAAAGGCTGTGCACAAAATCTTGTCTAAATTATCAGGGTTTTGGAAATGAAATGGTTATTAAAGAATAGTTTCCAGTTGATTAAAAAAATAAAATAAACATAAAAATATAGTTATGATATTATCAATTAAACATATTAGGTCAAAATTACGATGTTGGATTATTTTAATTGTTGGATGCAATCCAGAATTCTGGTCAAGACCAAATTCACAATGAGGGTATAAGTGGGATACAGACATTTGATGTGTTTTGAACTAGCTGTATTTAAAGTCCCTGTAAAGGCAATTCTAAAAAAAAATTCTAAACCCATTATAAATGTTAGACATGTATTGCTAAAACATATTACAAAGACTGTGAACTGTGAATTACTGAATTGTGGAGTTAGACCGTTAAACAGTTTTTCACCATTGCTATTTTCCGGATTTTTTGGGCGGGGCTAAAACGGGGCTCAATGACGCACTGGAGCCCCTGAGCTCCTGGACACGCCCCTACTTGATGACGCACTGAGGCCACTAAATCGCGACTTACTGTCAGTACAAACTACAGTTTGCCAGCTAGCTATGCCTTCGACACGGAAATGCGTAGGCTACTACCTGGATGCGATCATGTACAAAACAGATCGGTGTCTTTATTTAAATTTCCTAAAAACGATCACATCAAGAAGAGATGGATTAATTTTGTGAAGAGCCAACCTTGATGGAGAGCTGAGGATCACCGCCAACACCCGCCTCTGTAGCGATCATTTTACACGGGATAGTTTTATAAACTTTCGTCGGAGACAACTGGGATTCACTGATAATCCGCTGTTACTGGTGAATGGGGCCGAACCGACTATCTCCCGCCTCGGCCTTCATCTCCCCGTCCCGAAAGCAGTATCACAAATATCACCGTCGGCAGCTTTCCCGCGAGTGGGCGTGGTTTCAGCGCAGCCAGCGGACACGCCCCCAGCGTTTGAGAGCAGAGAATACTGCTCATTTTTTCAAGATTTTGATAGCTTATTTTATGTACTTGCCGGCTTTTTTTATCATTCAAATTTGTCTGGGTGGCTAATAACACATTTTTCTGTGGTGTGACAAACTCAGAACACATACTTAATTTTGACTTTACAGGGACTTTAATATGAAATTAATTTTATGTTAGATAATAGTAATAGTTTATCTAACAAAACTAATTGTTTTTACAATGTTTATTTATTTATTTTATTTTATTTTATTTTTGACATCTGTTGCTTTTAAAATAGTTACTTTGGGAATTTACCATATTCAATAAATGTGCCACAATCAGAAATGCTATTCTAAAGAAATAGCATGATACAGCCAATAATGGAAAGAGTCAATTTAGGAATGCCATAGGGGCTTTCGTTTTCATATGGTTCCTATAACTATTGTCGGAAGTGTCTGCTTTGTTGGTCGTGTTTGCACCAAAGGAACGATTTTAGTTAAAGGAACATCTTTTGGGGGGACTAAATTATCTCAACCTAACCCAGCACAGAACTACCAGTGACGTACGCTGATTAGCCGAATGCATGCCATATATACGAAACTTATGGCACCCGCCATTTTTAAAAAGCCGTGTCAACACATTTACTCCACAAACTAAAGGCAGGCATGTGATTTTAGCAAGGTTACCAACTCACACTGTATGAGTAGATTGCATGCAATGTAAAGCCAAAGCTCACGATTTATATGCTTACACAATACGGTCCGATCGTCGAGTTGCGACCTGACTGCTCACGCTATACGTGTGAAATATGCGCGATAAACCCCCATGCCGGGTTGCGCCGATAGACCATGATACCATGTATTTAGAGATATTGTCAAAAGCATCAGCTGTTGATATCAAGAGGATTAGCATAATTTATGTATTAATTTTTTTTATTATTATTATTAATACTATTATTATTATTAGGGTAGGCGTACTTTTATTATTAAAATCATATTACAATTAATTTGCCCCACAATAATTTAAAAGCTCACCACCACATAACCGACACACTGTGAGGATAATAAAAGATTAGATAGATTATCTTACTACTACATTGAATAAAAAAAAAAACCATTTAGGTCTATTATACATCTATTATACATCTATTATACATCTATTTCTATTAAAATTATTAACATACTGTATGTATATAAGCTATAATACGTCTGAACACTTATTTGAAGTAGATTTATCTCTCGTTGTCTTTGAGAGAATATGCTCCATTAATGCAGCGTCAGATGCTGAAAACTCCTTTTTTACTTTCACTTTCTGTATAGTGAATAATTGACTGGGGTTTGAGACTTCTTCACCAGCATTAAAAAAAATTCCAATATTGTGACGTGACATTTTTCTTTAGCCTATCACCAATTGCAAACTGCAACGGTTCACCTTTCCAGTGAGAATAAAATAAAATATTAAATAAATTAGTAAATAAAGTGAAAAGTGAAACCAGTAGGCTAAATTAATGACCAAGTAAATTAATAAAAGAGGTGCTGGTGGCTTGGAAGACGTGAGTAATATGGTTTATCCTTATTGCAACACGAACTGGAGGTAAGCAACAGTAAATTACGGCGAGTTTGATAGCTTGAACGTATTGATATCCCTCTTTTCATTTTCTTTCATGCTGCAATAAAGATGAAATGGTTTAACTTCTGTTTTCGCACAGGCGCAGTGAAGGAAAAAACACTGAGTTCAGGGCAATCGTTTCGTAGCTCTGGTTCAACTGTGTGATACCCTCACGAGGGGCGACCAACATTTCTGACATAGACGGGCCGACGCCGAGGTCCAGCCACTTCACAGCCAATCACGGCGTCCTCTATCTTCCAGTTGTTGAATGCTTCACTTAAATGACTTCACTGTTGGCCAGCTTACGTCACTTCAGAGTCTCTACTGGCCGTGTGAATGCAACCAGAAAACTGGCCCTGGGGAAAAAAGTTCTTCGGGGACCGTTCTGGTGGCTAGTTCCTATAACTCAGTTCCTTTAACTACCCGGTGCGAAAGCCCCTCAAGTGAACTAAGAACACGAAAGCGTGGCATGATGCAGTCTTATAAGTTGAAGTAAAAGGGAGAGAGTAGAAGAAGAGGAAAGAGTCTCCTTGAAAGAAAGAGTGGGACAACAAAGGGCTTAAGAGAGGGTGGGAAAAAGAGGAAGAGACGGAAAGGGGGGAAAAGTATCTTTACATAAATTACAGCATTGCTGACCAGGACAATAGAGCATTGTTCAAGCATGAGAGCGTATACACAGCACAGAGCCTTTGTGTCAAACTTCACGAACCCACCCCTACCCTGATACGGTGTGAGTGTGTGTGTGTTTGTCTATTGTTCACTTCAAAGAAAGCGTAACAATGTGTCTGTCTTTTTAATTGTTTAAGCTCGATCCTGTAGCTGAAAACAAGGGATCAGTGTGTCCGATCTAAATTCAAGTTGTAGTTTGAGTCGGTATGTGTGTGTGCAAGAGCATTTGTGGATGAAACAGAAGAGATAACTACTAAAGAGTCGTGCTTTTAAAACAAACTAGACTTTAATACAGGAAGTACCTTTAACACTGACCCTCTCATTGGCTGGTTTCCTTTTAGATTGATAACATGGCTCAGGTTTTGCACAAACTTGTGAAGTTTATGCAGCTTGAGTGTGACTGTCATTAAATCAACGGGTCGACGTGGGTCAATGACATGATTCTTTTATTTATTTAAAATACATAAAAAGTGTACATCAAATTCATACATTGGCTTAAAGGGTCTGCTTCTATAATGAGCATGTTTTGCTTTCTGTATTTAAAATAATGTAACTTTTAACAAATAATCTTTTATTATTTCTTAAATTATAATAGAAATATAAAAAATATTGTAACACTTTAGTTTATGTCCAATTCTCACTATTAACTAGTTGCTTATTAGCATGCATATTAATAGGATATTGGCTGTTTATTAGTACTTATAAAGCACATATTAATGCATTATTCTGCATGACCATATTCTACATCCCTTAATCCTTCCCAATACCTAAACTTAACTATACCTTACTAACTATTAATAAGCAGTAATTAGGAGTTTGAGCCAAAAGTCAGTTAATATTTGGTTAATTGCGAGAATTGAACCCTAATCTACAGTGTGACCAAAAATTATTTTAACAAAACTGTTTAAAAAATGTTGTCTGCCAAATCAATGGCACATAGTGCAAATTCTGAAATATCATGTAATGTGCCTATCCAAAAACTTGATATTTATGAATTAATAATAATATTTTTAAGCTCTAAGGAAAGTATATTTGTTTTGTTTTTTTCTTGAAGATTACGCACGTATTATAATAATGAAATGTATACTTTTCTTGAAAATTATATAAATGATTTTCAAAACCATACGAAGAGTACATTTTCTAAGAACTTGGCACATGTTTTAAACTAGATTTTTTTTTTTCTTTTGTTTATCGTAGACACTCCTATATCATCGACCCCATAGCAAATACTAAGACATTTTTCAATTAAACTTCCCACTTAAATTTCTATGCTGGTAATATAATTTTAGAAGGAATTAAATTAGCTTAAATAAGAAAAAGAGTAGCCCTTTCGCTAATGGTCTCAGACTTTTGCTTTGAAATCCAGAGTTCTGATGCCATGAACACATACCCATAAGGTACGGCACAAATGCATATGGGGTTCAGAAAACCAAAACACACACTCACACACATACAGCCCCGCTGGAGTCAGCCGTTCACATTATTGTCAATGTGAAATTACTGCGCATGCTAAATGGATGTATCTGCTGTTGTTAGACGTTCAGTTAAAAGCCTTTCTACGAGATGAAAATGGCCGCTGCTGTGGTGTGTGTTACTGAAATGGCTGTTATGGATTTATGGTTATGATTAAATGTGGAGCCAGAGACGCTCTTTAAAACGGCAGACCCACTCAAGCCTGACTTTAAGCGTCTACCTCAGACTTGCTGCTCAGATTCTGGGAAGAGATTCATAGCTTTATAGCTGTTATAACATGGCCTGATGCTTGGCTAGGTATGCGTGGCATTATAGTACACACGCTGTGTTTCAGAGTGTTCATTTGTGTATGTGTACACGTTCATGTACATAAATAATGTCTGTGTGTACAAGTTAGACTTACCCTTCTTCATTTACATAGCATGCTAAAACACTAGAACATGCTCTAGCAGTAAGAGTCATCATTTTAAAGCTGCAGTGCGTTATCTTTTCTTCCTTTTTGGTAAAAATAGGTTATATTTTTGCCAAATACATTAAGATGATATGCACTCGTGAGATAAAACCTCACCAGTAGCCTAATAAAACTGTTTTATTTTACATGGATATGGCCGTCTTGTGGTGGCTGACATGTTGAAAACAAACATTTTGGTTTGTGCATATTATCATTGCCGCATTTGAAATATGTACCAATCAAGATAGGTTATTTTCTTTATTTTGTTACATATTAGACTATATATATATATTATACAATAATTTTACAAAAAAATTAAGTATTTTATTTAAACAGGGCTGTTCATCACTGTTTTCAAGTATAATGACTATTATAGTTTTTGTAGAGTTGTCGGTGATATTTGGAGGAAACTGATCTGTTCAAATGCCTAATTGAAATCCTGAATATTTTTTGTCAGATTCATACTGCTGTTTGAAAAAAGTTAATAAAATAATATCTTGAATATAGTCAAAAAATGCAGTAACACATTTTCTCAAAATTGTGTTACGACTAAAATTGGGTCTCTTATGATCTGTCAGACAGGTTCAGCTCAACTTGATGAAAAAATTGACATCAAATGACATCAAAATTCAACCATAAAACTTTGAGGCCTTTTTTTCAGATTCAGTGTTGGCGCACACTGCATTTTGAACTACTTTTTCAAAAAGCGTCTTTGACTGCAGTTGAACTACTTTACATGAGTAGCTTGACAAGCTACAGTTTTGCGATTGCCGTAAATTAACATCATTATATGCTAGAAACCGACTTCCTAAAAGGCTTTAAAAACCGACTCGGAGAACCTTTAATTTGCAGTCAAGAATAAAGCAAAAGTGTAGCGTGATGTAAATTACACACACATTATCAACATCCAGAATGTTTCATAATCAGAACAGCAACTCTTTTTTTTTTTTTTTTTTTTTTTGCGTTTGAGCGGTTTAATGCAACAATGTTGTGGAATTTTGCTCAAAATGAATATATGCAGTCATGCTTGGATCACACTTACGAGATGAGCTGAAAGCAAATATGACCCTCCAGGTGTGTAAATAATGTTGTAACGGTGTAATCATGTAAGTTTATGAAGTGTGAATGTTTGCACCGAGCCCATCTGACTGCATCAGAGTGTCCATCATTTGTGGAACGGCTCACATTCGGTCCTGCCGAGCTCAGCATTAACAAGCCCGTTACAGCTCCTGCTTGCGCTAATGGATTAGCCATTCCATCGGAGTCAAGCAGTCTTTTTATGGCCCAGGGTTATGTGTGTATTTGTGTTGTGTGCAAGCAGTCTAAAGCATCGATTTGGTGGCAACAAATTTAGATTTCTCTTTCCCAGTGTCAAAGACATCAGTCTCCTGTTTTACTCTCTCTCTCTTTCCTTCCAGCACTATCCTCAGACGATGGACCCCCCCTCCCCTGTATGAAACTACGAGTCACTGTGTGCTGTCCACCAAGTAAGTACAGTCCTCTCTTCACCCCCTAGTTGTTTTTTTGTCCACACGTTTTTTTTTTTCCTTGGTAAAAAAAAGCATGTCACCCCCCCACACACACCCTCTCACGCAATCAGACATGCCCCTCTCTCTGCACGCAACCGCTCTCTCGCTTTCCCTCCTTCTCCCTGCCTATACCTTCTGCAGATTTGTCTCTTCTGCTAATGCATTCTTCCTTTCCCTGGCTCATCATTCCAATTTTTTCCCGTCATTTTATTCTTTCTTTCTCAGCCACAATGCTTTAAGTGCAGAATAAAATAGTAAAATTAATGTTAAAGAATGTGTAGTAATTGTCTTGCTGTAAACTGCAGTCGCCTTCTGTTGTTGGGAAATAACACAGTTATTTTATATATATATATATATATATATGTATAAACGTAAAAATTTGTCATTTTTACATTTAACTGTGTTAAAACATTGTGGGTGAGAAAGAAAGAATAAAATGACGGGGAAAAATTGGAATGATGAGCCAGGGAAAGGAAGAATGCATTAGCAGAAGAGACAAATCTGCAGAAGGTGTATATATATATAATAAAAAACAATAATAACATATTTAAATGATAGTAAACATTTATAATAAAACAAAACGTTTTTAAAAAATGTGAATATTTTGTAGATAATAATAGATAGTCACTTTTTGTAAAATCTTGAATTTTACACACACATATATATATATATATATATATATATATATAATAAAAAACTAAATAAAAGATAATGTGACTTTTTGTAAATTCTTGAATTTTACATATATATATATATATATATATATATATATATACACACACACACACACACACAACACAGACCGTTTATAATAAACATAAATTTGATTTTGTTGCAGTATAGTTTATATCAAGTTTCAAAGCATTTTTAAAATATTTATTATAATTTAAATTAAAATATGTATGTTAAATATGTTTATGTAAACAGTGTGTTTGTGTGTGTATATAAATTATAATGTTTTTTTAAATATATTTTTTAAATACAATATTTTTTGTAGATTGTAATCAAACGGCAACAAAATCTATTTACAATTTAATTCTAAAATTCATTATAAATTTAATTTGACATTTTATTTATCGGTCTAATATATTAGTGCTGTCAAAACGATTAATCGTGGTGTGTCTGTGTATATATACTGTAGATATACTGTATATATCTATATACACAAATACGTATGTATATAGATATACATGCGTATATATAAATTATATAAATACGACTACTAAATAATTTATATAAATATAATAATATATATATATATACACATAATGTAAACACAACTTTTGTTAGATGTGACTAATATATGTGTGTGTGTATATATATATATATATATATATATATATATATATATATATATACATACACATACATACATACATATACGCACACACGCGAAGGAAAAAGGAAATGTATATATATTTCCTTTTGTTATAACATTATGTGTGAAAGCTTATTTGCGTGTGTGTGTGTGCGTGTGTGTGTGTGTGCGTGTCCTGTGCGTGGAGCAAGGCTGGCTCTCAGACCCCTGCAGTTATGTTGACCTTACGCTCGGCTTGGCTGATGCTGGATCAGCAGGGAATGCCGCCCAGTAAGAGTGGGAATGGCAGTCCAGTCCGTAAGCCGTCCGACCCAATTCCACCTCCTGCTTCACACACATGCACATACACGCGCACACACACTCAGAAGCTGTCTAACCCAATATCCAAGTCCTGCCCCGGCCCCAAACCTGCCTTCTGGCCTCTCACAGTTTCTCGGACTTTTCATGGAACTATTTGTCCAATTCAGCTGTGAAAACATGTTTTATGTTTCTTACAGGTTAGTTAGTTTGACTGGAGATCAATGGCATTGTATTTACATTTCTCAGTTGCTCAGTTAAGTGGGTACCATTGCATTTGTTCCACAAAAAAGTAAATCAAACAGAAACCATGTTGTGTGAAATCAAATTCTTGAAGTCTTTAAGGAGATGCTTTGCTAAATTCTGAGAGTTGTATAACCTTCAATGAGAAATATCTAGTTTGCAGTTGGGGCAGAAAATACTTGTGCAATTGATTTGAAATATTTGTAAGAGACATATCTGTAGCAGAGAATGATCTGAGGTGCATGTTTATTTCAGGAGCAAATATTTGATAAGAGATAATGGAGTTTTTTGTTGTATTGAGGCGGCAAAATATTTGACTAAAAAAGGACTAACATTTACTTTATCCATGGAAGATGTGAATGCGTGGAATGTCCACTTCTCCCTCTCGTCTTTGCACATTTTCCTCTTCTCATGCTCCCGCTTCAGATGCTCCATCTCTTTTATCCCTCTCTCTTTCCCTTTCTCTCTATCTATTTCCCTCTTTTTCTGTTCTCTGACCGAAACTAATCCAGACTAAACTGTAGCATCCCTTCTCCCTCCCTCCTTTTTTCTTTCTCCTCCTAGTGTGTAGCCTTTCCTGGAGTGGCACTAATCTTCCCCACTCTGTTTCTTTTAGTCTTTTCCTCCCGTCCCTCATTTTTATGATCTGTCGTTACCAGAGCAAAACTAATCAGAGTCTTATCCACTACACATTCACTGAGTTTCGTCTCTCTTCAAACCCTGTCCATTTCTGGAATTCTGCTCATCTTCTATTCCATCTGTCCCTTGCATCATGTTCCTGAATACTTATAGACGCATCTATTTATATATAAATATATTCGACAATTCTTAAGCATTTTGTTTAATAACTGTGATTGACTGGCCAATTAACATAAGTATTCATTCTACTTGTGTCAGTGGATAGTGCACATTTTCAGTTTTGAGGGATTTTGAGTATGTATAGGGATATGTGATATATCGTATAATTTAATATAGAATATTTTTAAAAATATATTTTATAATTTTTCAGCATAAATCGATTTTGAGTTGCTCTTATTATTCTAAGCAGTATGCTTTTTTTTTTCTTTCCCTAGAGCATATTTCATACTGTCGTCTTGTGTTCACAAACTACTTGTTTGAGTTTTTATTTAGTTTGATTTTTTTTTTAACAATGTATAAATTCAGGAAACAAAATGATCTGCATCGGCCATTTTATCTCTGTTGTCAAAAATAAGTGTTTTAAATTCAGCATTTTTGTGTGTATTTTATTTGCCTTTTTTGTCAACCCTTCCTGGCATCAGCTAAAATGTATTTAAGCTTACTTTTCTATAAGCCATTACCGACATTCTTCCAAATATCTTCTTTTGTGTTCAGCAGAAGAAAGAAATTCATGCACGTTTGAAACAACTTGAGGGCGAGTAAATGATGACAGAAACTATTCCTCTAACCTTTCAAATGAATATCTGCGCTTATTATCCTCATTTGCTTTCAGATATCTCCGCATTCTCCACCACTTTTTCACTTTCAGCCCCTCCTCCGTCTTTTCCGCATGCCTTCTTGCACACCTTTACAACATTTTCCCCTGCACTGTTTTCCTCTGATCATTTGTATGTAAAGACCAATGAAAGGAGAAGTGTTTGACAGGACTTTGCACCAGGGCATGTTTTGCACAGCTGGTGTTTGTTCCTCCTGGTAGTGCCACGAACCGACTTTGGTTCCTTCCTGTGGCAGGTCTTTTATCTGACAGTCCTTGTTCGACAGAGGGTCCTGTCAGACCCAGGAGCGTTAGCCTCAGAACCAGAGCGGTGAAAACAACACCACAGCAGCTAAACCTGTCACGCGGCACCAGTAGCAAGCTGTATTTAAAGTTTCATTAAGTAGAGCTTGTTTCGCTAGGTCATTTGAGCCTTAATGAGACCATGGCTCATGGGGAAACAGAACAAGCTAAGAACAGCACAGAGATCAGTAATACCAGAGAGAGTCGTGTCACAACTACAGATGCAACGTACTGTCTTTTGGAAGGTTGGTTAACTCTGTAAAATAAGCTTGCAATGTACTGACCTGTATGTAGATGATTGATATATAGACAATAACTGAATGTAGTGCTCATTATAGACCATGACTGATTCTGCTGTTCATAGAGTGTTACAGTGAAATGTTTCCCCCAGAACAGCAGCAGTGCAGTCTCATGCTCGAAGGATCCCCAGTAGCTGCCACTGTGTCGCAGTTAAATCCATCCCCCTCACTCGAATATATCAATACTCATCAAATATAGCTTATGATGTTTAAACCTGGATTTTGGAAGCTGAAATCATAAAAGTGCAACCAAAACAAACTCGCCAATATTCTGTCTTTTTTGGAGCGGCTTCTGGTGGAAAACAGCTCCTGTATGCCCTCGTCTTTCATCCTATTCACTTTGCTCCGCTCCTTGCTCTTACTCAGGGCAACTTGTCAAAACATTAATTCTGCTGTTGTTTTTCCCCCCTCCTCTCCCTCATTCACGACTTACTCGGTCCTTCTGTCCCCCGCTGTGAAAAACCATTTCAGTCAGTTCTACTTTCTCTCTAATTGATCCCTGTCTTTTTCGACTCTTTTTATCTCGCTCATTCCTGCTGTGAGCACACCATTTCCTTTTCCAGTTTCTGTCCGTTTCTCAATCTTTTAAATTGTTTTAAAAAGCCGAAACTCTGTCCGTTTTGCACTGCCCACCTCAGTGGATACCTCGTCCTCCCCCTTTTATTCACCTCTCTCGCCTTGTTAGTTTTGTCATTCACCAGAGCGTTTTTTCCAAAGCGCGTAGAGGAAATTTTTTTTTATTCGGTGCCTTTACACAAGTGTAGATTTTCCCTGCAGTGAACGTTTTTTGGGGAAATATAAACACGAAAACATACGGTTACATTTTCGGAATGTCAGCCGTATTTTTCCGTTTTGCCAGATCATGTCAAATTGAAGAAATGAATGAAGCAGGGAAGCCTTCTTTTTCTTCCTTTTCTCCCTCTCGTCTGTTTTCCATCTCTCGCATCCTTTTCCTGGTCGTTCTCTGCATCATGTCATGGCATCCATGTTTTATGCAAGGAAAGCGTAACTGCAGCCATTTTGTGCTTGAAAACAAAAAAACTGCCATTTTGTTGAAGCAGACATTTTATTTAATTTCAGTAAGAGAGAAGAATAAATAGTTTGAAATTTGTCACTATAATTATCTTTTCTTCTTTTTTTTTTCTCTTTTTAGTTTAAATGTTAGGTTCCTCTTCTATTTAAAGTGACACGCATACTGGCATAAAGCTATTTTATGTACACTTATATTCCTTATAATGGTAATTATAAAAGATAAGAAAATGTTTATAATAATATAATTTCTTATTCATCTTAGTTTTATTTAATGCCTGATTATGGTCTTGTTTTATTATATTCCTAAATTTACCATTACCTTATAAATGAACGCATATTTTGTATTTGTTCATTTTTATTTTATACTTATGATATACATATGTTTTATTAGATTTATTAAATAAGTTTATTATCTATGTTTGTAATTTGTCATATATGGTTTAATTGAGATTCCACTTGGTGTTTCTAAATCAATTTGCACTGTTTAATGTGTTTTTGTAAAAAAATAAATAATAATTATTATATTAGTGATGAATCCTAAACTTAATTTGAAAATAATTTTTCATGCTTTCCAGTATTCTAAGATTTGACGTGGAAAGATTCATGTGGAAAAAATGTATACAAAGAACATGATGTATACGTGAAGCCAAACAATGTTTCATTAGTGTTTCATTGTACATGCATGTTTATAAATATTGTTACAATTTTTTTACTTTACTTATAATTTACTGTGACTTTTATGTCTCTATGTTGTTTGTTAATTCCTTTTCTATTAAGCAGTTTCCTTTTTATCTATCTTGTCTAATTTCACGACTGTCTTTATCAGAGGAAGATATATTCAAATGAAGTCTTTCATTAGGATTTTCTCTCTCTGTTTGGTCAAGTGTTGAGGGGTAAAGTTAAAATAACTTTAATGTGTGTTACCTTGATTTTGTTTTATCTTGTTATACATGCAGTTTGTATGACCAGATTAACCGAAAGAAAAGCTGTTTTACTACTTGTTCTATAGTTTTAGTATTTCTGTTCCTGTTGAGTGTACTTTCCTGTACATCTTCTCTCTCTCTCTCTCTCTCTCTCTCTCTCTCTCTCTCTCTCTCTCTCTCTCTCTCTCTCTCTCTCTCTCTCTCTCTCTCTCTCTCTCTCTCTCTCTCTCTCTCTCTCTCTCTCTCTCTGCCATCTCTCCATTCATCTTTTCTCCATTATGTTTCTCAGTCTGACCCCCTGTTGAGAGAGTGACACTCAGACACAAACTCCCTCCCTCCTTCCCACTTTCGTCTCTTTCCTTTTGCCGTCTGACCTTCTTTCAGGCTCTCGCCTTCCCTGTGCGTTCTCCCTCTGCTTTTCTCACACTTCATCCTCTCGTCTTTTCTCTTCTCTGTCTTCTCCTGTGTTTCGCTCCATCACTCTATCTTTGTTGCTTTTGTGGCCCTTCTCTGTTCAGTCTTGTATCTCTTGGTCCTTTCCCCCCTCTAAATCTTTCCATTTTCACGGTTCTTTCTCTTGTTCATCCTTCCAGTCCACTTTTTTTGTTTCTTGCAGAATCTTTCATCTCCTTCCACCTTCATTTTTTTCCTCTATCTTTCTGTGTGCGACCTTTAAGAGAATTTGCATTGAGGATGTATTTTGGGTTGCGCAGCCGTTAGTAATTTTTCAGTATGTTTCTGCCTGAGTAATGGTAAATGTGTCTCTATGTTCGGTTTTCTCCTCATTTGTTTTCAAGAACGATGTTCCAAGTTGTAGTTATTCAAAAAAAAAAAAAAAAATTAGAAAGGGCTAACACCTCACATGTCTCTCTCTTTCTCTCTCCCTCTCTTTTAATTCTCTAGCAACAGCTGGATCATCAAGACAAGAAGGTTAGTGTTTATTGCCATACACACCTTCTCAAGTCCCTTGGTTCATTGTGTAATATAAAATTACACATTAAAAACAAATATGCTATATACTTTTTATATATAAATCTATACGTTTTAAATGCATATAATTCTATAAATAAAAACGAATTATTATATATTACTAAAAATGTCACATATATTACAAAAATATATAAAATAAGATTTGGGTATATATATATGTACACGAACATCATATTTTTATATATATATATATATATATATAAAATATGATGTTCGTGTGCATGTATGTGTGTATATAATATATATATATATATATATATATATATATATACATACACGTTTTAATGAAATTATTTCACATATAAATACGTACATACATAATACATATATATGTGTATATGTATATTTATTTATTTCAGAACACCACTGCACGCCACTCTATATATATATATATATATATATATATATATATAAATAAATATATAGAGTGGCGTGCAGTGGTGTTCTGAAACAATAAATATACATACATATATGTATTTATGTACATGTGTGTATATATATATATATATATATATAGTTACACTTATTCATTCAGTCATGTTCCTGGTTAAATAAACATTACTTTACATAACATAAAAAATAGCAAGAAAAAAATAAATCAAATACAATTCTATTTTGTATTTTTACATTAACAATGTAATTAATGTTCTATTAATTAAACCCAAGTAACTCTCATTGTTAGTGTGTTTAAGTATTTTTACATGTATTCCAAATCACTAACTGAAGGCAGTAACAATTTAAACACTATATTTTATTTTTGAACTGTTCAGCTGTTCTTTTCTCTGCTCGTAAACTGGTCAAAGACACGAAGATGTACCTTTTAATTTCACCAGGCTGATTGTGATTGCTCACTAAAAAAAACACACACACACAAAAAAAAAACATTTTCAAACAAAAAACTCATCCACCATTTCTTTCTTGGCATTTCAAAATGTGAAATGAATTAACAGCTTTTTGTGGTCATGTCACACCAGGAAAAAAATATCCAATTATAATATGAAAAATGTAGTTGTGTTTTTTGTGTATATATTATTTTAAATAGTTTCTATCGTTTTTTTTTTTTTTTTTTTACCAAATCAGCGTTGTTTTTATTCATCTAAAACTGCATTCTGGGATGATGTTAGGAGCCATAAAAGGGGCCAAATGTTCCTCACCCCTGTGCAAGATGATGGTGTGGATGCTAAAATAGGCAAAAACTATTAAAAATCCAACATGGTCGATACAGATAGGTTTACAAAATCTTAGATAGGGGATTTGGTGCTGATATACCATGCATCCCAAATATTTGTGCAAACATATATTTGTGTTTTTATTTGTATTTATTTATGTATGCATATATTTATGTTTATGTGTTTGTCTGTTTACTTTTTTGATTATTATAGCCACAGAGAAACCATCACGCAGCAGTTCTGTCCATCCTGTGACAATCGGACAACTTTCTCTCCTCCTCATCCCCCTCTTCTTGCCTTATTTCCTCTAATATCTCTTCTTAAAGCATAAAACCTAAAAACAAATGCTCTGTTGCAGCATATATTCCTCCATAACAGTTTGCATTACAGTAAATGCGTGTTCTACATCTGTGGATTACACACACGCACACACACACACACTCTCTCTCTCTCTTTCTCATACTCCTTTGCTCTGTCATTTTTGTCACGCTATTAATCTCCATCCCTCTGTTTCCTCTCTGGCAGTCTCTCCGTCCTCTCACAGCAGTCCTTATGCTGTCCGCTCTGATAAAAGTTCACTCTGGAACAGAGCGACACTAATCTACCTTCAAAGAGCTTATCTTACTGTTCAGTTTCTTTTAATCCATCTGTCTTTAAGAGTCAGACATTCCTTTACAAGCCTCTGCTCCCCCTCTCCTCTGTCCTACTGTACAACAAACTGAGCCAAAGACGAGGAGGAGGATGAAGCTCCCCGGTCCTGCTGTTTGTACTACTGACTGAAAGATCAGGGACAGAGTGAACATTCATGTGTGCGATCACTAACAGATGTATTGATCAATAGCTGGGAAAATATTTTTGTACTTTTTTTTTTTCCTTAAAAAAAAAATAGACATTGAAGCCAAAGCCAGACCACAGCATTTAAAAATGATTTTGCTGTATTGACTTTATGCAACCTGGCAGAACTCTGGAATTGCCTGGAATATCCTGGATTTTTTTTGTATCTTGAATTTGTTTTGAATTTATGTTCGGAATCGTGTGCGATTCATTCGCACATCTGTATATGCTGACTGAGTGACACGTGGAAAACACAGGAAACTAAATAACTACTTCCTGTTGATCTTTTTGTGGGATGTGTATGGTAATCACCTCCATGTATGGACTCTTCTGATTGGTCTGCATGTTTCTTAACTCTCTGTAAGTGTGAAAGCTATTGGATGTTTCATTTGGCACTTAATCAGTTCCTTCTTCCTTTCCCCCCTGCTCACATAATTATTTGTGGGTATGTGAATTATGTATAATGAAAGTGTTCATTTTGAACTTAATGAGGGAATATGCAAGCAGGTTTTTTTACAGTTAGTCTGAAATAATGCATTGATTATAGAGAAAACAGTATGCTGAGTATTGTTTTGTTTTTTATATATATATATTTGTATCAGTTTTTTAGGGGGAGAGGGTTTTTTAAGATATTTTATTTGCTAGACTTTTCATTTGTACAGTGAATTATTAGTTTTAGCAGGACAATAAGAAAGACTATTCTTTAGATGCTTGTATTCAGGATAAAACATTGGTATTTAAAGAGATCAAGAAAAAATAGCCCAAAATAAGAAAAAAATTTAAATGTTTCTATTTAAATAATTTTTCAAATGCATATTTTTTTTTAGTTTATTTCTTACTTTGTTTTTTAAATAATTGTTTAAAATTAATATTTTTAACTTGTAATTCAGTTCTGATAGAGAAGCAATTATGCCCCCTTTTTAAGTTCCAGAATCGAAATGCATATTCTGTGTGAATGAGAAATGTTTTGTTTCTGTTTCTCTCGCTCTCATTTCTGATGTTTTCTGTTCATTTTAGATTTTCAGATGCAAATACGGTTTGCCAAAACAGAACAATCAGTTTACATATTTTGTTTGTTTCTTTGTTTTACATGGTATGTAGGCATGTTGTTTCTTTGTAATTTGAATGTTTCACATTTTTGTGAAGTGGTCAGTATCTTCTGTGAAGAACTTTTGTCAGCCATTTTTCTACAGAAAAATGAGCTACAGAAATAAATAATGCTTTTCAAACATCTCTGTTTTTTAGAGTTTACATTCCAGTTATTTGAAGATGATCAGGAGCCAGTTATATAAGAACTAGTTTATGAAACTCAGCTACTGTTTATTAAAAAAATTATAATAATTATCATGTGTAGCAATGCATATTTAATTTTTTTAGGAATTTAAATAATTCGCATTTGTTAAGAATGAAATTGTTATTTTTATTATTTGGGGGATCAGATTAATTTCAGCGATTAACATGTTATATACCTTAAAATGAAAAATGTGTAATTTTAAATGTTTTACAATTCAAAAAATGTTGACATTCAGTGCATATCAGGTCTGTTTGTCTCCTCTAGATGGCATCTGTTCCTCACTGAGCCGCAGAAACTCTGTTTATGGTACAGTCACAGAGAAGAGAAGGTGTGTGGTGTTATGAGTCACCATGAATCATTCTCACGAGAGCCACCGGAACCAAAAACAACGCTGTCAAGGCCAGAGGCATGTTTCACCCAGTCATAATATGCAATTAGGTATCTTTAAGTAAAAGGTAAAAAAAATAATGGTGTATCTGACTATCATCATCATGGAAGCAAACTGTTAAACTTGTTAAAAATTCGAAGTATAAATAAATTCTTCAGTGTTGCTTCATGGTATCTCTAAAGGCATACATTTGGCTTTTTGTGTCTCAGGACCTCATTCCACCCAAACTACCTAACACCACTTTTTGGAGTTAGGTCCCCTCGTCTTTATTATTACTAAACCTTTTTTTTATGAATACCCTGTAAAAAAGAAAAAAAAGTCTCTGCCTTAAAATAAGTACAATAAACTTGGATGTTTAAGTAATTGCATCTTAAATTAAATTAAACTTAAAAAAAATTAGTTGAATCTTGAAACTTATTAAAAAAGTTGAAAATTGCTTATTTTGATGCGTTAAAGTAATGTAAAAACATGTCATAACTTATTGATCATATAATACAGTGTTAAACTGTTGTAAAAAAACTATTATATAGATCTCCATGCTTATTAATTTCATGAGCACATTCATTTCAAATATGTTATTTCATATGTAAACAAGTACTGTCACAGCATGACTGCTATTTGTTCAGACAAACGAGTTGTATATTAATTTGTCTGTGCTGCATCAGTGTTTCCTGTTGTTACTATTGACTTCACATTGAACATGGCTTTGTTTTTGATGAAGTCATTTTGAAGCAAACTATATATTATAGTAAACTATTTTATCAAAGAGATCATGCAACAAATATAGAACAGGATTCATTGTTTCTGCACTTATATTTAAAACGTTCTTTTAATTGTTCAATCGCTTTACAGCAATTGTTTTAAACATTGGTTTTGTGGTTATGGGTCAATGACTAAGGTGGACTAAGATGGTAAAAAGGAGAAATCTTTTAAAAACAAGTTCTAGAAATGTCATTTTCACATTCAATTTAGTTTCATAATAAAAAAAAAATAAAAAAAAAGGTTCTGTGAATCTTATACTGTACCGACCCTAATAATACGAAGCGGGTTAACCATCAAATAAAATCACTGAAAATACTTTTCAAAAAGTTTTGAATGCAGTGCTATGAAATTGGTTTTATGCTCAATGACATTAGATCCTGTTCACAATCCCTAATCAATACACATTAGGACAATAAATGCAACCAAAATGTTGGACAGAGAAGATTCATCCATGTGTTTCTTAGCAAACATGTGACAATCTTGTGTTTTTCTGGGCAATGGTTTTTAAAATGTGGCTCCTTTCCTACAGTAGTGGTCAGAATTATTGGCACCCCTGGTAAATATGATCAAATGCGTTGTTTATCCTTTTGATCTTTCATTAAATTTTTTTTGCAAAAATCTAACCTTTCATTGAAGTAAAATAATTGAAATTGGAGAGAATCATATTATGAATTTTTTTTTTCTCCAAAACTCGTTGACCACAATTATTGGCACCCTTTTATTGAATACTTTTTGCAACCTATATATATTAAAATATTTAATATGGAGATATGGCTATAATGAGACTATGTATGGCATAAAATGTTTTTAAAATAAAAATTCCTCGATCTTTTCTGGCTAATGCATCAAGATTGCAGATCACTAGAATGAAGTGTCAGACCCAGCCTCAGTCAGATCTACAGTAGCTGGCTTCAACCTTCGTCCCCAACACAGTGTTTGTTTTAATATCCAAAATAATCAGTAATCACCACAATAATGTAATAATAACTGTGGTAACAATTTTATAAAAAGGGAAAAAGGCCTCCAGAAAAATTGCATGGGGTGGCCACAGGGGGCCAGTAAAACCCTGGAAAAGGTTTTAGGCGTACCCTCTTTGCATATCAGTATAATGAAGGAGTGTTCAAATCATAGACTGTAAAAGGTTCAAATATAAATAAATAATAAATCGGAAGTCTCGCACATTCACAGAAAACACCTTACTTCCGTGTTGAAAAATAAGGTGGATTGAATAATCTATTCTGTTTGACTTTGTGAGATGATCAGCACATTTTCAACAAGTTTTATTATACCAAAGCAAATGCAATAGACAATTTCTGCTTCACGACACATCCAGTAAAGGCCCGTTCATACCAAGAACGATTAAAGATGATTATAACCATATTAGCTTATACGCCAGGAGACGATATAGCATTATGTCATCTGCCGCTTTAAATGTTTGCGCTCTTAAAGCAGAATGTATTCTGATTGGATTTCAATGTTTTTATCATTCATCAACTGGGGAAAAAAAAGTTGTGAACTCTGCTATAGCCTATATAACGATTTTTAGAACTGTTTTTATTATTATTTTTATTTTGGCATTGGTGTGATCAGGCCTTAGATGAATAATACAAAAATTACAACAATAATAAAAAAAGTATATAAATTAGAAAAAAACACGGGACGGCATGTGTGGCCTGGAGTTGATTTCCAGAGAATAAAATTTCAACTCATCCCTCAGTTTTTAAATAATGGAATAACTGCACATAATGTATAAACTACATAAGTATTACATTGTTGTAATAAAATGTACATAATGTAATACTTTTCTCAAAACCTAATATAATAAGTTTTACATTATGAGAAATGTATTACATTATAAACTTACCAAACAGTCATATGTCATAATTGTATTAGCTTTTACAACATAAAAAATATTAGTATAGATTTAATATTAGTAGCCTGCATTTTTTTTTATCTAAATCCTGTCTTTACTTGTGAAATGCAACAATTTAAATGTTCATGCAATTATTATGATTATTGTTATATTTTAATTAAACATAAAGCATTGGTATTACTTTACAGTACATTTAAAAAAATCTAAATCCAGTCTTAACCTGCCTACTAAATTACAATATTACTACTATTACTACTACTACTACTTACTATATACATAAGGTATGCATATTGTTAAATGACAAACAGTATTAAATACCAACACTGTACGCATACATTTCTTCACGTTAATAAGTTAAAGCAAAATAAAGCCTGAATATACAATGTACAATATGCAGTACAACTTAGAATCATATACAGTGGATATAAAAAGTACACACCTGTTAAAACAGTTTGGATTTGTGATGTAAAAAAGAAAGAAAAATATAAAAAATCAGAACTTTTGCACCTTTAATGTGAAATTACAATGCAATGTACATGTTTGTAAAATATAAACAAGTTTTTAAGACATTTAAATGACTAAACCCCTGGTTTCACAGACGGGGCTTAAGCTAGTCTCAGACTAAAATGCATGTTTGATCTGTTTTAACTGAAAGCATCACATGAAAGTATCAGTGCCATTGTTTTGTCTCAAAATGCACACCAGT